GCATATGTTGTTCCAACATTAAAAATTAAAAAAGGTTTTAAACTACCAAATTATATTTCAATATTTATGTCAGAATTAATGGCAATATTTTTGATAAAATTGAGAATGGAAATGGGGAATCATGTCAAAGAGACAACAACCCGACCATAGAGCAGACAACGTTATGGCTAGAAGATTTTAGACCTATTAAAACGGTCATTTTTGTAGATTCTTTGTCGGCTCTTCAAGCCATCAGAGCCCCTATTTTTAAAGTAAAGAATCAAATTTTATATGATATTCATTTAATTTTGACATCTCTTAAAAAAGGTGGCTCAGAAATTATATTTGAATGGATACCAAGTCATGTCGGAAAAATGGGCAACGAAAGTGCAGATTTACAAGCCAAAATAGCACTAAATTTAGATAACTGCATAGATTTTATACCTCTCTTTAAAGAGGACATTAAAACTGTCTGTAAAAATTTTCTGAAAAATTCATGGCAAAAAGATTGGGAAACAAACAAAGATCGAGCATTATTCAAAATTATGGATAAAGTTACTTTTCAAATTAATATTCCAAAATTAACAAGGGAAAAAGAAATATTACTTTTTAAACTAAGAACAGGATATATTGGACTTAATAACCATCTTAATAAAATTGGAGTAATTACTTCAAATCTCTGTACAAACTGCAATCAGATTGAAAATGTAGAACATTATATGTTAAATTGTAAATTATTCAATTTTGCATTTCGGGGGTTATAGACAGAGGCATGTTTTCTGCCTGACTGATCACCAGTCAGAGCACATGTCAATGACTAGATCCAGGGTGCAATTAACCTACACTATCATGGTTAGTATCTTCCTTGGGGTAGTGCGTATACACGATTCCCACGGGACCACTGGCTGGGACAACTGATCAAACTTTAGTCTCATTCATATTTAAAAAATAAATAAGTTACATCTGATAAAAATAAAAATAAACACAAATAAGCGACAGAATATGTAATTATAAAACTCACAACCAAAGTTTAAAATACACCAAAAAAATAAACAAACATTAAGTAGATTTTCCTAAAGTAAAATCAGGAACATAAAGGGCGCAATTTCCATTAGGAAAGCCGTCCTCTAAAAAAACCTACAGTTTATTATTAAAAGTTTTTGAGACTAGTGCTACCTCAACATTTTGATATAATAATATTTAATAAATTTTTGTACTTTGTGTATATAATATTGTATATATTTTCACAGTGCTCTTATCATTTTTTTTTAACTATATAGTGCTTTTCCTAAATTATTTTGAAATAATTTTTGTTTCAGCCTTTTCATATATTTCTTAGTGCTCAATTTGTTATTGTCACGGCTAAACGTGTTTTAATTGCAGCTAGGTCATTCCCAAGTTAAATATTTTGATCAGTATTTAAAGTTGTCTAATGTAGATGTTGTGTCTTTTTCAGGGTATCGCATAGAACAGATCCGGGTGTAATAGGGCATATGGTGCCCGACTACAGGATTGTTGTGCTTCATATTGGAGCCAATAACCTGTGGAATGACACCCCAGCTGATGTTCTGATTCATTACCAGAGTCTGGTTGAGAATATACTAAGACTCAACCCGGTATGTTTGATCCTTATTCTGGAATAACAAACAATCTTTCGGAAAGTATGAATGCCGTTTTAAAAAGGGAAAATGATTGGAAAGAGCTACCAGTAGATTTGCTTGCTTTGGGTTTTTATTACATACAAAATTTTCAGAACTATGAAATTTTACGTGGACGTTCTGGTTTAGGGAATAATCATTTGAAAAAAGAATTTAGTAGAGCATTTATTTCACCATCAGATGTAATATTTCCGAAAAGAATTGTAAGTCCTGAAGAAGTAATTGAATACTTAAACAAGAGGCTCTCAAGAGCCTGAATCGCTCACCTGTTATTTTTTTTGCTTAAATCTTACATCAATGATTATTTTTGCTTTTTACCCATATGTTCCATTTTAGCCATAGTGTCTATGTTTCTTGACGTACAAGGAAATGAAATACAAAATTTATACTAGATTCATTTGAGAAGATTTTGAAAGTTAAAAAACATAAAACAACTTGTGTAAAATTGTCCTTAAAGGGCAATAACTCCTTAAGGGGTCAATTGACAATTTTGGTCATATTAAACTTTTTTGTAGATCTTACTTTGCTGAACATTTTTGCTGTTTACGGTTTATCTTTATCTTCAATAATATTCAAGATAATAACAAAAAACTGCAAAATTTCCTTAAAACAACCAATTTAGTGGCAGCAACCCAATGTCCAATGGGTAGTTCAATTTGTCTGAAAATTTCAGGGCTGATATATCTTGACCAATTGAACAATTTTATCCATGTCAGATTTGCTCTAAAAGCTTTAGTTTTGGAGATATAAGCCAAAAACTGCATTTGACCCCTATTTTCTATTTTTAGCCATGGCGGCCATGTTTGTCGATGGATTAAAACTTCGGATACAATTTATAAAATAGATATCCTAAGAAACATTTAGATGAAGTTTGAAGGTATTTGGACCAGTAGTTTCAGAGAAGATTTTTAAATGTTAGCAAACTTGATGAACAAATTGTGTAAAATTGTCCTTAAAGGGCAATAACTCCTTAAGGGGTCAATTGATAATTTTTGTCATATAAACTTTTTTGTAGATCTTACTTTGCTGAACATTATTGCTGTTTACAGTTTATATCTATCTATAATAATATTCAAGATTATAACCAAAAACTGCAAAATTTCCTTAAAATTACTATTTATGGGACAGCAACCCAACAACGGACTGTCTGATTCGTCTGAAAATGATGCGGTAGATAGATCTAAACCTGATGAACATGTTTACCCCATGTCAGATTTACTTTAAATGCTTTAGTTTCAGAGATATAAGCCAAAAACTGCATTTTACCCCTATGTTCTATTTTTAGCCATGGCGGTCATGTTGGTTGGCAGGCGGGGTAATCGGACACAATTTTTAAACTAGATACCCCAATAATGATTGTGGCAAAGTTTGGTTAAATTTGACCCCGTAGTTTCAGAGGAGAAGATTTTTGTAAAAGTTAACGGACGACGACGACCTCCATGTGATGAGAAAAGCTCATTTGACCCAATGAGCCAAATGAGCTAAAAATTATGTACAATCCCAAGTAATAAATGAAATAGTTGAGCTTTAAAATGTATATTCAAATAGTAGCTGTATATACACTTTCCTAGATAATAACAAAAAACTGCAAAATTTCCTTAAAACTACCAATTTAGTGGCAGCAACCCAACAATGAGTTGTTCGATTCGTCTGAAAATTTCAGGGCTGATAGATCTTGACCAATTGAACAATTTTAACCCATGTCAGATTTGCTCTAAAAGCTTTAGTTTTTGAGATATAAGCAAAAAACTGCATTTGACCCCTATGTTCTATTTTTAGCCATGGCGGCCATGTTTGTCAATGGATCAAAACTACGGATACAATTTATAAACTTGATACCCAAAGGAACATTTAGTTAAAGTTTGAAGGTATTTGGCCCAGTAGTTTCAGAGGAGAAGATTTTTTAAATAGTTTACGACGACAGACGACGACGACAGACGACGGACGCCAAGTGATGGCAAAAGCTCACATGGGGCCCTTCGAGCCCCGGTGAGCTAAAAACGATAAGCCACTTTTTCAATCTAATTCTGTCGAATCTGACGCTGATCCTATGGGCAATTTAAACTCACAGGAAATTGTAAAACAAACACACTCTGATGAGAACACTAATCAGGTAAAATTAGATAATAAGGAGGTAGTTATTAATCAACAACCTGTCATAGAATACCCGGCCTTTAATCATGATAGCAGTCAACAAAGTTTGGCACGGTTTATTGTTGACAATAATTTAATTACTTTGGTCAAAAAAACAACAAAACAGCATAGATTGTGGTCGTTTTGCAATTGCAAATGCTCTTGAATTTTGTCAATCTGGGTTTAAAGGAGGTACTCATATATCAAGTACGATCAAAAATATATGAGAGAACATTTAATACATTGTTTTGAAAAAGGTAATTTTACACATTTTCCTAAAAATCATTTCGGTAAAGCTCCCAAAAATCTGAAAACTAAAGTCCACACTATCCCAATCAACTGTGATTGTGGAAACCCAGACACAATGGGAAGATATGATAGTTTGTGAAGGAAAAACGGGACGTAAAATGTGTGATATTTGGAAACACCGGTCTTGTGCTGAAAAAAAATATGATGAATGGGAACAGCTGGTTCTGCAAAGTACATAGATAGATTAACCAAGTTAATTTTTTTTCCGAATTATTTGTTAATAAACTGTGTTTAGATATCCTATTAAAGATTTTGACCGTGTTATTTATTTTTTCGTGAATTTAAGTTCATATTTGAAATTTTGACTTCTTCATTTGTACACACGAGAGGCTGCCGGTCAAGATTTTGCCTTTTAACTAAATGTAATCCTATTTTATTTTATACCATTTAATTTGCTATTAAATTGTCTTTAAAAATCATGTTCCTGATTTTGACCGGGCTATATATTTTTTCGTGAATTTTAGTTCAAAGTTGAAATTTTGACTTCTTCATTTGTATACAAGAGAGGCTTCCGGTCAAGATTTTGCCCTTTTCTTCTAATGTATTGCTAATTATTTTTATACCATATTATTTGTTATTAAATTGTCTATATAAATGGTTTTTAAGATTTTGACCGGGCTATATGTTTTTTCGTGAATTTAAGTTTAAAGATTCGAAATTGGAATGCCAGAGTCACGCTTAACAAGGATTCCGGTCAACTTTTTGGTCATAATGATTATCAAAAAATTTTTTTTTTTAATATTAACTTATATAATATTATATAAGCTTTCAAAATCCGTTTCAAGTGTTAATTTATCTTAAGCAGTTCCAGAGAAATTACTTATAATATATCAATTTTACACTTCCGCGTTTTCCCACTTCCGAGTTTTAGACCTTCCCACTGTTTTTATTTTCCACAATGATGTAAGTAGTTATTTAAAGTTTTCCTGGAAGTCCAAAATTGTATTTATGATTTTATCGTCATTGTTTTGGACACATATTTCTGATTTGCCCAACAAACAGGATGACAAAAGATTCTTAGTATGAATTATTACAGAAATTTAAGCACTTTTAAGTAGTTGACACTTCCTGAGGTCTCAACTCAAGGTATTTAAATTAAATTTAGAGGAAAAAATTATATGTACGATATCTTGTTGTCTGCTATTACATGTACGAGTGAGATTGAGGTGTTCCAATGATTGTTCATATGGTCCTGTTTCAAACAGTGTTTAAAATCGGAAACTTCTTCGTGTTTGCGGGACCTTTCGCCAGTTCACCTGACTCATACTCCAAGGGTTAGTTAAACAGGTCAGGAATAACCACCAATTGGTGGATTATACCTCAGTTGACGTATAATCCACCAATTGACATATAATGGTATAGACCAATTGAAGTATAATTCTTTGTATTTCAAAGCAAACTATACAACTAAAATGGAGCATTGTTTTCTTATAACCATATTATGGTATGAAAACATGTCAAACATTCCTAGTTAAGTATAGTGACATAACATATTGCATTTAATCAATAATTGTATTTGCAGTTTCTTCTATTGTTATCTTGTCAATTCTTGATTGGTAAATTTTCCACTAATCACTGGTCAATGGACATCAATACTGTCTTCAGTCATGTGATTATGAGTACAACTCACCAGGTGAATGGAGCTCTTTGTTAATACTTGACTTTCATTATTAAAAGTCAATCATGGTCAATAGTACAGATGTTTTAACAAAAGAATTGTTTTACACATGCATTCTCAAGAGATGCAGCAGGCTTTGACAAAACTGAAACTTTAGGAGGATTCAATAATGGTTATAAAATAGGTTGCAAGTTGCAAAATGATGCTCCTATCCCAGACTAGCGTTTTATTACAAAAAAACTTGCATTATACGTCAATTGGTCTATACCAATATATGTCAATTGGTGGATTATACGTCAATTGAGGTATAGTCCACCAATTGGTGGTTATTCCTGACCTGTTAAACCCCGAAAATCTGCAGTCCGGACTGAATTGTATGATCTGGTAACAGCTTCAGTATGTTATCATCTTGTGACAGATTTAATTGCCGAACAGTTCAGGTTGTGGTTTCACATCTGATAATAGTTAACTGAAAAAAGACAATGACCTTAGATTTAGAGAAAAGAAGTTTTAATGATTTGTTTTTATCACATCATTCCCACTGATGTCCAATGTATGAAATGTCTTTAGGATTAGGATATTTGGATCTAGCTAAATCCAAAACACATTTTGGCATAATTTCCCATCTGTGATAAACTACCCATTCACCACCTATATTTTTCTTTCTGTCCAAGTACTCCTCAGTATACCTTACCCCTAAATTGTCCATTATCTTCCAAAACTGTTTATAAATTTCCTTTCTTATTCCTGAATTTTCTTATACCACAGCATTACAACCTGTCATGAATTTTGATTACAAATCAACATGATCAATTGAAATGAAGTTACATTTAAAGATATGGAAACATTAAAAATTGTAAAACATTTTACATGTTTTATATTTTGAATGTCATTATACATTCCTTACCTAATGACATTTCAAGTATTTGTAACAAAAGTATAACAAGGCTAGGAATCTGCAAGTCATCAGCTTTTTGTTGTTAAATATAATGGTCATAAATTCATAGATAGAGAGAAACCATACAGTGACTTTCTTCATAACCAAACTGATCAAAAAGCGGTGTACTTCGGGGTTTAAGTAGTGTGACGGGATTGCTTCCCTTAGAACTTACTTACTTACTTATAGTTACTTATAGTTGATTTCCAGTACAGGATCCCTAAGGGTCCTCTTCACCAGACTCATAATTTCAGTTATTTCTAATACTATTTTTTCCGTGACTTCTGGATATTTCTGCTCTATAGTCATTGTAATAGAGCTCTTCGTCAGACCAATATTTATCTAATAGGTTTTTGAAGGTATTTATGGATGGGGCTTTAGTGATTTTATCTGGTAGTTTGTTCCAGGTTTTAGCAATTATTACAGAGAACGAGTGTAAGCGGATATTAGATTGAAATCTTTGATTGCTGACTTGCTTGCTATTTGTCCATGTTGTCCTGCTACAGGTTCTACATGTGAATCATCTGCCATTTTTAAAAAGAAGCTTGCTTCCTTATCATAGTACGTAGCCATTGATAGTTTTGAAGGTTCCAATCATATCCCCATGTATTCTCCTATATGATAGTGTAGGTAAGCCTAGTTTTTTAAGTCTCTCTGGATAGCTCATGTCTTTGAGACCTGGTAGTTGTTTTGTTACATGTACGTTTACCCTTCTTTGGACTCCTTCTATTTGGTCAATATCTTCTGTGGTAGATACTTAGTCAGCTGTAAGCGGTTAAGCTAACGAAGTACTTCTTTAGCTCAGTCAGTATACATGCTGCCTTGTAACACAGAGGTCCCTGGTTTGAGTTCCAGAGGAGACATGCGATTTTGTAATGAAAATCATGCTCTCCTGTTACATTTAGAGCCCAACTAAAAAACCCATGGTAGTTAGAGAGGATTTCTAGCTAGGGTATGTGTTGTGAGATTCCTAATGGTATGATCATGATGCTGACTCTTGATGTGGGGGAAGTGTGGCGGGATTGCTTCCTTTAGAACATGTGGTAGATACTTAGTCAGCTGTAAGTGGTTGAGCTAAGGAGGACTTCTTTAGCTCAGTCAGTATACGCGCTGCCTTGTAACACAGTGGTCCCAGGTTTGAGTCCCGGTGGAGACAAGCAATTTTGTAGTGAAGTTCATGCTTTCCGGTTACAGTATCATAGATGTTTTTATATGAAATATGTGCCAATGGACTTTTAAATGTATGTGTTCTAGATTTTATCCACCTTATACACAATCTAGAACACATACCATTCCACTGGAACATACATGTATTTCTAACCAAAAACATCTATCATAAGAGTCCCTGTGCCTAAAAGGGTTGAAAAGTGAAGACATTATAATATTCAGAGATCATGTCTGCAAGTGTAAAAGGTTAGACCACAATTATTTTGAATCCAGGTCAGTTTGCCCAAATTCATGTTCACTCCCATTCACATTCACCCCTTTGACATTCGCACCAAATCCCTTTTTATATACGTATGATATTGGTATGACGTTGGCGTCATCGTTGTCGTCATCGACCGGCGTCGTCCGAAGACACATTGGTTTTCGCACTCTAACTTTAGTTTAAGTGAATGGATCTCTATGAAATTTTACCATAAGGTTCAATACCACAAAAGGAAGGTTGGGATTGATTTTGGGGGTTATGGTACCAACAGTTAAGGAATTAGGGGCCAAATGGGGGTCAAAAATAAGCATTTTTGTAACTTCCAGACATAACTTGTGTGTTAGTGTATGGATCTCTCTGACATTGTACCACAAGGTTCCATATCACAAAGGGAATGCTTGGATTGATTTTGGGGGTAATTGCCTCAAAATTTTAGGAATTAAGGGCCAAAAAAGGAGCAAAAAACAAGCATTTTTCTAGTTTCATGACAATAACTTGTGTGTAAGTGTATGGATCTTTCTGAAATTGTACTACAAGGTTCCATATCACAAAGGGAAAACTGGAATTGAGTTTGATGGTAATTGCCCAAAACGTTTAGGAATAAGGGGCCAAAAAGGGGCCAAAAATAAGCATTTTTCTAGTTTCCAGACAATAACTTGTGTTCAAGTGAATGGATCTCTCTGAAATTGTACTGCAAGGTTCCATATCACAAAGGGAATACTTGGATTGATTATGGGGGTAATTGCCTCAAAATTTTAGGAATTAGGGGCCTCAAAAGGGGCAAAAAACAAGCATTTTTCTAGTTTCATGACAATAACTTGTGTGTAAGTCTATGGATCTTTCTGAAATTGTACTACAAGAAACAATACCACAAAGGGAAGGCTGGGATTGATTTTGGGGCTAGTTGCCCAAAACGTTTAGGAATAAGGGGCAAAAAAGGGGCCAAAAATAACCATTTTTCTAATTTCAGGACAATAACTTGTTTGTAAGTGTATGGATCTTTATGAAATTGTACTACAAGGTTCCATATCACAAAGGGAAAGCTGGGTTTGAGTTTGGGGGTAATTCCCCGAAATGTTTAGGAATAAGGGGCCAAAAAGGGGCCAAAAAACGCATTTTTGTCGAGCCTTCGACTTTTGTCGAAAAAGCGAGACATAGCGATCCTACATTCCGTCGGCGTCGTCGTCGTCGTCGACGGCGGCATCCACAAATATTCACTCTGTGGTTAAAGTTTTTGAAATTTTAATAACTTTCTTAAACTATCCTGGATTTCTACCAAACTTGGACAGAAGCTTGTTTATGATCATAAGATAATATTCAAAAGTAAATTTTGTAAAAAAAAAATTCCATTTTTTCCGTATTTTACTTATAAATGGACTTAGTTTTTCTGCCAGGAAACATTACATTCACTCTGTGGTTAAAGTTTTTGAAATTTTAATAACTTTCTTAAACTATCCTGGATTTGTACCAAACTTGGACAGAAGCTTGTTTGTGATCATCAGATAGTATCCAGAAGTAAATTTTGTAAAAAAAAAATTCCATTTTTTCCGTATTTTACTTATAAATGGACTTAGTTTTTCTGCCAGTTAACATTACATTCACTCTGTGGTTAAAGTTTTTAAAATTTTAACAACTTTCTTAAACTATCCTGGATTTGTACCAAACTTGGACAGAAGCTTGTTTATGATTAAAAGCTAGTATCTAAAAGGAAATTTTGTTAAAATATTTTTCCATTTTTTCCGTATTTTACTTATAAATGGACTTAGTTTTTCTTCCAGTTAACATTACATACAGTCTGCAGTTTAAGTTTTTAAAACATTTATTAGATTCATAAACTATCCTGGATTTTTACCAAACTTGAACAGAAGCTACTTACAATCAAAAGATAGTATAGAGAGGAATATTTTTATTAATTTTTTTCCTCATTTTTGTTGAGCCTGTGATAAACAGCAGAAGTAGGCGAGACACTAGGTTCCGCGGAACCCTTACGAATTTTTCTAGTTTCCAGACAATAACTTGTGTTCAAGTGTATGGATCTCTCTGAAATTGTACTGCAAGGTACCATACCACAAAGGGAAGGCTGGGATTGAGTTTGGGGGTGATGAATCATAAGGGGGTTCGAAAAATTTGCAGGGGGATTTTTTTTTCATTTTTTTTTGTTTAAAATTTTCCATTTTAAATTGGTTATTTCTGATTTATCTATAAAAGCAAATAATAATGATATTGTTTGAATAGGTAAATTAAAATTTTTTAAGTTCTAAGACCACATTCATTCTGTGTCAGAAACCTATGCTGTGTCAATTATTTAATCACAATCCAAATTCAGTGCTGTATCAAGCTTGAATGTTGTGTCCATACTTGCCCCAACTGTTCAGGGTTCGACCTCTGCCGTCGTATCAAGCTGCGCCCAGCGGAGCATTTTATTAAAAAAAGGGATCAATTTGCACCCTACATGTTTGTGTAACAAAAAATTTGTACCGGCGTGACATTTGTTCTGCCTGAACATATTTCACAGGAAATATGTTCCACTGGAATTTATATCACAGAAAAAACGTTCCAGCACTGTAAAATTTGTTGACCGAATGTGAAATAGTTCCAGAACAAAAATCACAGCTCTAAGAATTTTGTTCCAATATTTAAAGTTTTAAAACCCATTTTAAAGGTTGAGTGTTTTATGATTTTTAGCTCACCTGGCCCAATCGGCCAAGTGAGCTTTTCTCGTCACTTGGCGTCTGTCAGTGTCCGTCGTCATTGTTGTCAGTGTCCGTTAACCTTTACAAAAATCTTCTCCTCTGAAACTACTGGGCCAAATTTAACCAAACTTGGCCACAATCATCAAAAGGGTATTTAGTTTTAAAAATGTGTCCGATGACCCCACCTGTCAACCAACATGGCCTACATGGCTAAAAATAGAACATAGGGGTAAAATGCAGTTTTTGGCTTAAAGCATTTAGAGCAAATCTGACATCGAGTTAAAATATTAATCAGGTTGAGATATATCCACCCTGAGTTTTCAGATGAATAAGACAACCCGTTGTTGAGTTGCTGCCCCTGAATCGGTATTTTTATGGAAATTTTGCAGTTTTTGGTTATTATCTTGAATATTATTATAGATAGAGATAAACTGTAAACAGCAATAATGTTCAGCATAGTAAGATCTACAAATAAGTCAATATAACCAAAATTGTCAATTGACCCCTTAAGGAGTTATTGCCCTTTATAGTCAATTTTTAACCATTTTTCGTAAATTTTTGTTATTTACAAAATTCTTCTCCATTTTATCTACTGGGCCAAATAAAATTCAACTTAGCCACAATTTTCAATAGGGTATCTTGATTGAAAAAGTGTCATCCAACCAACATGGCTGCCATGGCTAAGAATAGAACACAGGGGTTTACTATAGAAGTCTAAGGGAAAATTGTAAAAAAAACAATTTCAAATGGTCACAACTTGTAAACTAATTTGAATAATGTTAAGGGGTCTTCAGTAACTATTGTAAGACTACAATGGGATGACCTGCTTTTAATTTAACTACTGGACCAAATTAAACCAAATTTGGCCTCAATCATAATTAGGGTATCTAATACCATAAATACTATTAATTATGGTTTTAACCTTATTTTACATGATTTCGAAAACAACAGTAGAAACAGGTGAGCGACACAGGCTCTTGGAAGCCTTAAGTTTAATCATGTTTTACAAAGTTTATGCATGGCTACATTGACTATGAAAATAAGGTAATCAGGTTTTTTTTATTGTTTTAAAATATAGTGACATTCTAAATATGTCAACAGGTTTCCTTTAGTGTTTTGTGAATTATTCTGACTAAATGTATATGAAAATTGCCATAATCGGCATGATGATCAAAGGCCAGCTTCATTTAATCTAACTTTAAAGACTTGTTAAAGAAGGGGTAAGATACCAAATAGCTATCAAACTTTTCACAATGACATTGCCACAACAACAACGAATAACACAATAACCGGGCAACAAAGCACACGTTTATAACATGTAGGTGTTCAAGGTGTTGCATTTTAGCAATAAGTTCCTGCAGTGCATTTATCATATTTATTTCCATGGGTAAAAAGCTTAAAGCAATCATAACCTTCAGCAATAATAAACTTTAAGCTTGCACACTCATTCACTATTCCATATCAAAAAGAGCACTAAAATGTTTAGGGTAACCACACCAAAGCTAGTTATATATAACAACAATTATGATTTTCAAACTCATATCAATGATCATGATGATACAAAATAAACCTTGTAAATACCAATTAACAGTAATCATAAATAATTAGAATTTAATAATTTATCATCTAATTACCAAAAAAGAATTATTTCATTTAAAAAAATCATGAATTTTTATTCAAGAAAATATAAATATAAAAAACATCCAATAAGTAAACCAGCTGTATTTGAATAAAAGTAGGATGCTAACATTTGTGTGGTGGGAAGGTGTAGGGTGTGAACCTGTTATGGGAGTGAATGGACTCGATACAATTATTTTGACAGTGATTTCTTTGTTAAAGTCTAAATTGAATTTATAAAGTTGTGCAAATTAAAGCGTGAAAAATATTCACCAGCTTATAAAACCAGTGTAAAATGTATCCTAATAAGATGTCTCCCATATTATGCTGTGATAAATTTTTAACCAATCAGCCTGGAATTTTGTGAAAAAAAATGCATACTAAATGTTTACTCAGTCATTGACACTGAGTTTTGAAAAAGTCTGAGGATTTTCTTTATTGTGAGGTTGATCATTTGTTGAGAAGACTTTATAAGTTTCACTTACATTTAACTTCTCATCCCTTATGCATACTAAATGTTTACTCAGTCATTGACACTGAGTTTTGAAAAAGTCTGAGGATTTTCTTTATTGTGAGGTTGATCATTTGTTGAGAAGAATATATAAGTTTCACTTACATTTAACTTCTCATCCCTTATGCATTTTATGTGCCAGTCTTTGTAAGAATTAGGCAATTTTGAAAAAAATCAAAACTTGACCATAAAAAAACCCACTGACCTAACCATCCTATTTCGAAGTTACCCTCATCCTGAGTTAGAAATGGTAGGTCTTTCGTTTCTGTGTGTCTGGTAATTCAAAAAATCTCTAGGTATATTTGGGTTAGAATGATAGCAAATTACAGAGTTAGCTCCCCTTAATTGGTAATTTCTAGTGCATTTCAACCAGATTATATCTTGAATTACCAGAACAGGAAAAGGAAACAAACCATTCATGCCATTATACAAATTATACAATATAAACTTCAATTAATGTAAACTTAAGTTGGTTTTTGTTCGTCGTGATTTCACTATTGCCTGATTCTTAGGCAAATTTGCACTTTAAAAGCAAAAAAAAAAACGGTTGTCCAAATTTTGCATCCTTCTTTTTAGGTAATAAACTTTTATTTTGTTAGTACATGTACATCAAAATTGCATACCAATGCATGACTGCATGTTTTAGTATTGATAATCATGATAATCATAATGTACATGATGCATTTACCGGTACATGGATGGAGAGTTGTCTCATTAGCACTCATACGGCATCTTATTTATATTTATGAATATCTTTTGTAGGTCTTCATTTTTAAAAATGAAATGTAAAAAATGTGGTGCTGATGTGGCCCCAAGTAATAAATTTTGCGGACAGTGTGGTCAGAAGGTTGAAATAGATGATCATGAGGGCAAGATTAAGAATTGTCCAAGTTGTAATTCTCTACAGAAACTTTCACAAAAGTTTTGCACAGATTGTGGATTTGAGATAGACATGGTTATTTGCCAAGCTCAGACAGACAAAGGTCCTTGTGGTAATGTTGAGAACAAAACACCGGATAGTACACAGGACAGCAGTGTAGAGGACAAGATGCAGGACAAGACACAGGATAGTACACAGGACAGTAGTGTTGAGGACAAGACACCGGATAGTACACAGGACAGTAGTGTTGAGGACAAGACACCGGATAGTACACAGGACAGTATTTTAGAGGACAAGACACCAGATAGAACACAGGACAGTACACATGACAGTACACAGGACGATGGTAATCTTTAATTAATTGTGAATGTTGATTTACATTACAAATGTATATTGTAATTTTATGGTACACACTAATTTGAAGGTCTGTAACAAACAAAAAAGGAGAAGATAAAAAACATCAGTTTGGTAAAAGAGGTCAAACAAAAAGCCACAAAGAACAGTTAACAAAACTCTAAACAGAAAACTAAACATGCTAAAGATTGATCAACAGTTACCCCCTCAATATGCTCAATAACTTTTCGTACAAACATTTGATAAAAAAAATAATACTTATATACATGTATAAAAAAGCTGAAAAATCCAGTAAAGTGTTACTTTTTCATTAATAAAACCATATAAAGCTGTTCAAAGGGATGATTGATGTCTCTGAATGACATCAGGCGTTACTCACACAAATAAAAATTGAACTTTGAATAAAATATCCAAATTTGATGCTGACTAATTATTAACTGTGTAAAGTGCTATTGGCAATGGCTACCAAACATTGGGATTGATAATTGTTGGTACCTTTTTGATCTCCATAAGAATTTAATAGGTTGCCTTAATAGCCACCAGTCATGACTGCCACTGTTTAGAAAAAAGATATTCTACAAGTTGGAATGGCTTTTAAACTGCAATTAAACTTGGTTGATACAAATACATGTACATAAATGTAGGTAAAATTTTAAGGAATTTTATAATAATTGTTTAATAAAGGAAATAAATAATAGAATGATTTAAACATTATTCAAACACAGTTTGAATTTTGATAGTTCACTGGTTTCAGTACTGAAACACTGTGCTGTGAAATAACTAGGACAAATTAAAGGAGCAAGTTCACAAAGGGTTAAAATAAATTGGCCCTTAGGCCTGATGTTTTGATGTTTTTTTTTTCAATCAGGCCAAAATACGACAAAATACTTTCTTTTTGGCACATCACATTTAAAATAATGAATTAGTATGCATTATTTGTGTTGTAACATATGTAACATCAGTTCTGGTTAAATTTTCAATATTCTTAACACAATTTACTTTGGCCGCCACCGCGGATCCAGAAAGTTTTGTGTCTAATCTATGAATTCAATATCATCATAATTCATTGGCAACTTTTTGGTCAGAAAAATGGACAAAATCATTGTTTTTTGACAATATATATCCAAAATGTACTGACTTTGAAGCCTACAAAGTACAATGTACTATATTGAAAAATTGTGTTTAACCTATTAGTAAGGCTTTTTAAATAGACCCATTTAAGAACCAAATTATTGCCATTTAAAATTTGTATTATAAATTTAAAATTGAAGGCCATATTTGGCCTAGATTTAAGTATATGTTAACCTTAATCATCACTAGTAGATCTGTTCTCAAAATTTTATATCCAATTTTGAAACTTGTGTCTTGAAGACATTTATTTTATATCCTTGGCAAATTGAACTCAGATTGAACCGTGTCATGTAAGCATTGTAGGTGAGTATTAAATGTATCTGCTCATTGGAGTCTCTAGTTCTCTACAACATGTACAAAACTTGTTGTTAGCTAGAAGAAAGGGATTTTGTTTTTGTTTTTGTGAAAGCACTGTGATCATGGTGATTTTTGTGATTGATAAGAATTTTGAGAACAATAATAAGTAAACTTTTGGAACTTTTGTAGAACTAGACGGTGGTCATGGTAGTAAACAGAAACAGTTTAAAAAAAGTTCAAAAAATCCAGAGACAAAAATTGAAGTGGAAAATGTGCTCATACTCAACAGAGATAATCTAAGGAAAGAAGTTCTAGAAGACACATTGCATAAAGAAGATGTGTAAGTTTAGAAGATGCATTTGATCTTACTTTGTCTAGCAAGCAAGAAAATTTACCATGAGGAAGTGAGATGCACAGAATATACCCCTACGTACGAGGTATATCTCAAGTTTCCTCCCTAATACTAAGAAACAACAACATCGACTAGTTAAGGATTCTCTTCAAGTCTTCACAGCAGTTAAGGTCAAGTTACAGTAAATAGGCTATGTCACAGATTATGGTAAAACTACCAATTTCAATTTTGTCCTGTCTACATTATATAGACAGGGGGATATGTGTCTCATGGACACATTCAGTTTTGATATCAACTTGTTCCCTTAAATTTTATGATTAATTCCTAAGTTTCCACAGGTAAATATGTAAGGTGCATTTAATTTCAGAAAGAAATTTTAGGTATAGATGTTACTTGTTATTACAAAATAAAATACATTTTACTTTGGAAGTAGCAGACTAGTAAAACTTTTACTTCTCTTGAACTGAATTTTAATGTGCGTATTGTTATGCGTTTACTTTTCTACATTGGCTAGAGGTATAGGGGGAGGGTTGAGATCTCATAAACATGTTTAACCCCGCCGCATTTTTGCGCCTGTCCCAAGTCAGGAGCCTCTAGCCTTTGTTAGTCTTGTATTATTTTTAATTTTAGTTTCTTGTGTACAATTTGGAGTTTAGTATGGCGTTCATTATCACTGAACTAGTATATATATTTGTTTAGGGGCCAGCTGAAGGACGCCTCCGGGTGCGGGAATTTCTCACTACATTGAAGACCTGTTGGTGACCTTCTGCTGTTGTCTGTTCTGTGGTCGGGTTGTTGTCTCTTTGACACATTCCCCATTTCCATTCTCAATTTTAGTGTGGCAGATTGAAGGATGCTGCCGTGGCGTTGTCAGATTGTTTTCGACTTACGAGTTTGGATATCCCTTTGGTATCTTTTGCCTCTCCTATACTGCCAAGTTTAGATATAAAAATAATTGAAATTAAATTTGTATTTAGAAGTTTCACTTGCAGTCAGAACATAATATGTCACAAGAAAATAGGCTCATGTGCATCTTACATAGAAATAGCATTTACTGTGACTTGACTGTTAGTGTTGCTCTCCACCAATTGCAATTTATTCAAAATTCTGACCAAATTGAAATTTGTTTTATAAAACCAAACTGTTCAAAAATTTGAACAAACTGCTGTAGAAAACCACAGTCAAGTCGTGAAAGTGCAAGGTGATAAAATAAAGCATACTTACAATCCTATAAGACTTTAATTCCACATCAATGTTATCATGAAAAATCAGTCTAACAGTTTGTATAGATATTTTATTGTTATTGTCATGCTAAAGGTGATGGGTAGTAATTTTGAATTGCTGTAAAAATGTCCAAACTAAGCTTTCATACAATTTTTCTTTCAAAAAGTCTTCTATATTCATAAGAATTAGACCTCATTTGAATTAAAACATCTTACATTCAGTAAAATATATGTGAAATTACAATACGTTGTTAATAAGTTTCCATGGGAGATTACCTAAAACATTATTCTTTTGAATATAGAAGACTTTTCGAAAGAAAAATTGATTATCTCCCATGGAAACTTACTAAAAACGTATTGTAATTTCACACACATTTTACTGAATATAAAATGTTTTAATTCAAATGATGTCTGATTCTTATGAATATAGAAGACTTTTCGAAGAAGAAAAAATGTATGAAAGCTTAGTTTGGACATTTTTATAGCAATTCAAAATTACTACCCATCACCTTTAGCATGGCAATAACAATAAAATTTCTATACAAACTGTTAGTCTGATTTTTCATAACATTGAAGTGGAATTAAAGTCTTATAGGATTGTAAGAATGCTTTATTTTATCACCTTGCACTTTCACGACTTGACTGTGGTTTTCTACAGCAGTTTGTTCAAATTTCTGACCAGTTGAACAGTCAGAATTTTGAACAAGTTGCAATAGGTTGAGACCAACACTTACAGTCAAGTCACAGTAATTATATTTATAAACATGATAAAAAAAGATAGCAAATAAAAAAAATAGAGTAAAATAAAGAATAATTATAAGAATTGTTTACATCGAAGAAAATATTTATTGCAGTAAGTCTGAAGAACCTATTCTAAAGGAAAGTAAAGTAAGAGGATTAGCAGTAATCTGCACACATACTACTTTTAAAAAGAACCCAGTGAATCTGACGGAAAGACCAAGTGGTGATAGGGATAAAGAAATCATGGAGGACATTTGGAAGTTATATGATGACTGTGAAGTTCTGACATTTGTAAATAAAACAAGTAGCTTTTACGATACAGAATTAGAAAAGAAGAGTAAGTGTTGCATAGTTGGCTTTTGTATTGTACTTGGCAAGTGAAATTATTTCCACAATTAACATGGTTAATATAAAAATAAGAAGATGTGGTATGATTGCCAATGAGACAACTCTCCACCAGCAAATGACCTTAGGCCAAATGAAGTAAAAGGTTAGCAACTATAGGTAACTGTCTGGCCTTCAAATTCTTTAAATAATTCCATGACCAAAACATTTTTAACTGGATTTTCGAAGGAAAAATCAGTTATTGATTTGGGGATGTACGGCGGACGGCCAGGTGTGCGGGCGGCTGTCAAACTGTGTCCTTTCATTAACATGAAAACTCTTTTAGTGAAATCTTCTCAAATTTAGATATGTTGATTCCTGTGACTATATGAAGGTCAAGTTCAATTTTCACGATTTTAGCTGTTCTCGTTGTTGGATTTTTGGACCTTTCAATAGCAAAATTTATTTTTATCATATGAATTTGAGTTATTTCCCTTTGAACAGAAATTGTGATTTGCAAATATCATTTTCATTAGATAATAATCTATTTTTATTAAAGGATATATTTCATTACATTACATTTTGTAGATAAAATTGTTGACATTGATAGATAAGTTGCATAGGGGTTTGGGGGGGTTTGGGGGTAGTTTGTGACAAATGAAAGAAAAAATATTGGGAACTATTAATTATATAAATAAAGTTTGATTACACTAAGTGTTTTTATATAATTTTCACCTGTTAATAGATAACAAAGGATCTCTTAAATATCTTATCTCACAATTATAATTGGAGTGACAGATTTATTTGAAAATTTTCTGTTTCCTAAGTGTTGATGATAAGATCTGTAGGACAGTATAAATAAAGTTTGAAATTTACTGTTCATTATTAGACATTTTGAAGATAATTACAGATAAATTTTATAGATTTTTAATAGATATTGTATTAATGATAAATGACATTTTGGTATTTTTTTCTTCTTTTCTTTTGTTAATTGTTTGAAGAATTTTGTGGTTGGTTTGTTTGCTATTCTGTATAAACTTATTTTCTGAATGCTATATATATATATATATATATATATTTGATGAAGCAAACTCCTTTAGTTTGTCTATTATTGCGAACCCAATGAAAGTTTTCCACAGTGCCATCTCTATCTTGACCAGGTATTTAAACTTTTGTAAGTTCACCTGTCCTCTTGAATAAATACAATAGCTATTGTTCTCCATGTAGTTTTTTCACTGGGACCTTTAAATTTCTTCTAAGAGAAATCCATCACTCATTGATTAATTTACCTGAGTAAAAAAAAATCTTATAAATAGAGGAAAATACATGTTTTATACTCAAAACTGCATGTGATGTTATATTTATTCAATATTGATAATATATTTTCAATCGGTTAAATGTAAACAGTGATGCAAAGTTGAAACATTAATAAAATATAAAAAAAGAAGATGTGGTATGATTGCCAATGAGACAACTCTCCACAAGAGACCAAATGACACAGAAATTAACAACTATAGGTCACTGTACGGCCTTCAACAATGAGCAAAGCCTTTACCGCACAGTCAGCTATAAAAGGATATTCAAACTCATAAGTCATGTAAGTCAAAAATAAACTGACAAGGCCATGGCAGAAAAAAAAAAACACTAAAAGGCAAACAATGTAGTATACAAAACACAACATAGAAAACTAAAGACTGAGCCCCACGAACCCCACAAAAAAACACTGATAATCTCAGGTGCTCATTCTATATGTGTCTGTCCCAATTAATGTCTGGGCCTTTTTAGCTCACCTGACCTGAAAGGTCAAGTGAGCTTTTCTCATCACTTTGCGTCCGTCGTCTGTCGTCCTGCGTCCGTCGTCCGTAAACTTTTACAAAAATCTTCTCCTCTGAAACTACTGGGCCAAATTTGACCAAACTTGGCCACAATCATCATTGGGGTATCTAGTTTAAAAAATGTGTCCGGTGACCCGGCCAACCAACCAAGATGGCCGCCATGGCTAAAAATAGAACATAGGGGTAAAATGTAGATTTTGGCTTATATCTCTGAAACCAAAGCATTTAGAGCAAATCTGACATGGGGGTAAAATTGTTTATTAGGTCAAGATCTATCTGCCCTGAAATTTTCAGATGAATCGGACAACCTGTTGTTGGGTTGCTGCCCCTGAATTGGTAATTTTAAGGAAATTTTGCCGTTTTTGGTTATCATCTTGAATATTATTATAGATAGAGATAAACTGTAAACAGCAATAATGTTCAGCAAAGTAAGATCTACAAATAAGTCAACTCGACCAAAATTGTCAGTTGACCCCTTAAGGAGTTATTGCCCTTTATAGTCAATTTTTAACAATTTTTCGTAAATTTTTGTAATCTTTTACAAAAATCTTCTCCTCTGAAACTACTAAGACAAATTTAACCAAACTTGTCCACAATCATCATTAGGGTATCTTGTTTAAAAAATGTGTCCGATGACCCTGCCCGTGAACCAAGATGGCCGACATGGCTAAAAAATAGTATATAGGGTAAAATGCAGTTTTTGGCTCATATCTCTGAAACCAAAGCATTTAGAGCAAATCTGATGAGTATAAAATTGTTCATTAGGTCAAGATCTATCTGCCCTGAAATTTTCTTACCAATCAGGCAACCCGTTGTTGGGTTGCTGCCCCTGAATTGGTAATTTTAAGGAAATTTTGCCGTTTTTGGTTATTATCTTGAATATTATTATAGATAGAGATAAACTGTAAACAGCAATAATGTTCAGCAAAGTAAGATCTACAAATAAGTCAACTTGACCAAAATTGTCAGTTGACCCCTTAAGGAGTTATTGCCCTTTATAGTCAATTTTTAACCATTTTTCGTAAATTTTTGTAATTTTTTACAAAAATCTTCTCCTCTGAAACTACTAAGACAAATTTAACCAAACTTGTCCACAATCATCATTAGGGTATCTAGTTTAAAAAATGTGTCCGATAACCCCGCCCGCGAACCAAGATGGCCGACATGGCTAAAAAATAGTACATAGGGTAAAATGCAGTTTTTGGCTCATATCTCTGAAACCAAAGCATTTAGAGCAAATCTGACATGGGGGTAAAATTGTTCATTAGGTCAAGATCTATCTGCCCTGAAATTTTCAGACCAATCAGGCAACACATTGTTGGGTTGCTGCCCCTGAATTGGTAATTTTAAGAAAATTTTGCAGCTTTTGGTTATTATCTTGAATATTATTATAGATAGAGATAAACTGTAAACAGCAATAATGTACAGCAAAGTTAGATCTACAAATAAGGCAACATGACCAAAATTGACAATTGACCCCTTAAGGAGTTATTGCCCTTTATAGTCAATTTTTTACAATTCTCATAAATTTGGTAAATTTTTGTAAATTTTTACAAAGTATTTTCCACTGTATCTACCGGGCCAAGTTCATTATAGATAGAGATAATAGTAAGGAGCAAGAATGTTCAGTCAAGTAAGATCTACAAACACATCACCATCACCAAAACACATCATCATCACCAAAACACAATTTTGTCATGAATCCATCTGTGTCCTTTGTTTAATATGCACATAGACCAAGGTGAGCGACACAAGCTCTTTAGAGCCTCTAGTTTTTTTAGCTGACTATATAGTCTGGGTTTTGCTCATTGTTAAAGGCTGCATGATTAACTATAATTGCTGACAACCACCAACATCCTTTTGACACTGGTGCTTAACTGTCTCATTGGCAATTATACCACATCTCCATGGACAGAGATGTCATCAATTACAGGTCACAATACAGCCTGCAAAAATGTACAAAACCCATACCCTGAAGTAAGCTATAAATGGCAGCAGGACAACAAAATAAGAAATTAGCAACAAAAGTAAAACTCAAGACAAAGAAAACAAGGTCATATGAAAGCAAAGTCAAAATAATTTTAATGTGTGATTTTAAATCTTGGCATCTTTGAAATGCAGAGCAGATCTCATACATATTTACTTATTTTAGTTCAAGAAAAGTTAATGGAGATGCCAACTGTCAAGTACTTTGTATTTGTTTTGAGCACCCATGGAGATGAAAGACCAGAAAAAGAAAAAGATGGCAATCTGCATTATCAACATTACTTTTACACAAAAGATGGTCAGTTTAAAACTCAAGATCTTATGACAAAGATAAATGACATAGAAAATATGGATGGGAGAATGAAATTGTTTTTTATACAGGTAAGGTGCAAAAATGAAGTCATGATACATGTACATACTTGACCTTGTTTCATGTATGATTAATCAGCATCTTTTCTTAGATACATTTATATATGTCCTCTTGGCAAAGCTCATCTGACATTGACTTCATTTTCATGGTTCATTGGTGAACATTAAGATCTCATAGTTTCGTACATATTTTTAAGATTTACTATTGTTATAATTTGGAAGAAAAGTTTACCCTAAAACAAAGTTATTATACCCCCGCTTTAAAAAAGTGGTGGTATACTGTTTTACCTCTGTCTGTCCGTCCATCCGTCAGTCCGTCTGTCTGTCCCATGAATATTTTACGTCGCATCTTTCTCAGGAACTATATTACAAGGATTTCTGAAATTTGGTTTCAGGGTTTATATGAGTCAGCTATACCGTGTGATGCGGTTTCAGATTCATCACTCAACAACTTCCTGTTTACCTTATACTTTTAGCAGGCGTGGGTATCATTAGTGAGCAGTAGCTCACAGATTCACTTGTTTTGTCTTTTTGAGTAAGTGTATTTATACATTATCAGTATGATTGACAACTGTCATTATCAAGGAACAATTATATAAACACAAAGGGTTGGACATTAATTGGAATTCTAGATAAACTCCTCTTCCTTAATGCTAAGTATAATTGACCAAATTACATAACTATTGCATTGAATTTATACAAAACATGGCAGACCACTCAATACACAAACTTTGACCTCATTAGCATCAGATATAATTTGATCTCTATAGGTCAGTGTTATTACTGGTGACCTCTGTCTCATGTATGATTGATACATTTGTACATATGGTTAACATTAATATTAAATGTACATTTCTTTAATAAAACTATAGACAGATGATAGATTTAATCCTTTATCTTTATATAACTTTTAATGATTTTCACTGCATTAAATAAAATATCTGTAAATTTTATCTGAAAGATGGATGTTTAAGGATTAACACAATGTATTATTTTAAGAAAAGACCAAAAAGAAAATCTGTATGAGTGAAAAATCCAAGTCAGGTCTATTTTTCTTGCAAAATCTTTTACAACAGTTATCTGTAATTAATCCATAATTTAGGTTACATTTATCAGTGAAGGTATTTGTATATTTTAAAACAGGAAACGTATTTTTGCAATGAAATGTTTACCCTCATTTTAACAATAAATAAGATAATTGTCTTAATTTTTATATGACCGCAAAAATTTTGTGGTCGTATATTGGTATGACGTTGGCGTTGTCTTCGTCGTTCGGCAGCGTCGTCGTTGTCCGAAGACACATTGGTTTTCACACTCTAACTTAAGTTTAAGTCAATGGATCTCTATGAAATTTTACCATAAGGTTCAATATCACAAAAGGAAGGTGGGGATTGATTTTGGGGGTTATGGTACCAACAGTTAAGGAATTAGGGGCCAAAAAGGGGCCAAAAATAAGCATTTTTGTAACTTCCAGACATAACTTGTGTGTTAGTGTATGGATCTCTCTGACATTGTACCACAAGGTTCCATATAACAAAGGGAATGCTGGGATTGATTTTGGGGGTAATTGCCCCCGAATTTTAGGAATTAGGGGCCAAAAAGGGGCAAAAACCAAGCATTTTTCTAGTTTCATGACAATAACTTGTGTGGAAGTGTATGGATCTCTCTGACATTGTACCACAAGGTTCCATATCACAAAGGGAATGAAGGGATTGATTTTGGTGGTAATTGCCTCCAAATTTTAGGAATTAGGGGCCAAAAAGGGGCAAAAAACGAGCATTTTTCTAGTTTCATGACAATTTGTGTGTAATTGGATGGATCTTTATGAAATTGTACTACAAGGTTCCATATCACAAGAGGAAAGCTGGAATTGAGTTTGGGGGTAAATGCCCAAAACGTTTAGGAATAAGGGGCCAAAAATAAGCATTTTTCTAGTTTCCAGACAATAACTTGTGTTCAAGTGTATGGATCTCTCGCAAATTGTACTGCAAGGTACCATACCACAAAGGGAAGGCTGGGATTGATTTTGGGTGTAATTCCCTCAAAATTTGAGGAATTAGGGGCCATAAAGGGTAAAAAAAAACAAGCATTTTTCTAGTTTTAGGACAATAACTTGTGTGTAAGTGTATGGATCTTTATGAAATTGTACTGCAAGGTTCCATATCACAAAGGGAAAGCTGGGTTTGAGTTTGGGGTAATTGCTCTAAATGTTTAGGAATTTGGGGCCAAAAAGGGGCCAAAAAACAAGCATTTTTCTAGTTTCCAGACAATAACTTGTGTTCAAGTGTATGGGTCTCTCTGAAATTGTACTGCAAGGTACCATACCACAAAGGGAAGGCTGGGATTGAGTTTGGGGGTGATGAATCATAAGGGGGTTCAAAAAATTTGGGGGGGGGGGGATTTTTTTTTCTTTTTTTTTTCTTTAAAATTTTCCATTTTAAATTGGTTATTTCTGATTTATATATAAAAGCAAATAATAATGATATGGTTTGAATAGGCAAATTAAAAATTTTTAAGTTCTTAGACCACATTCATTCTGTGTCAGAAACCTATGCTGTGTCAAATATTTAATTACAATCCAAATTCAGTGCTGTATCAAGCTTGAATGTTGTGTCCATACTTGCCCCAACTGTTCAGGGTTCGACATCTGCGGTCGTATCAAGCTGCGCCCCAGCAGAGCATTTTATTTCATCTTGAAAAAACATGTTTCTGGTAAACATGAAATGAAATTCAATAAAAATCAATGAAAATCCTTTGAACATTTCTCTTTCTTTCCATTATGTCATAATGAAGATTTAAAAGACAAGGACTTTAAAGTTTCAAGTCTCTTAATCCATTGGACTTTGGTCCCAGGTTTACTGAAAAACTTACAATGATGATTTTTTTTATTAGGTGATTTCTTCTGTTTCAAAAAATATAAATATTAAATTGCAATTAAAAAGAAGTTATTATGCAAATTTATTGACCCACTGACAAAACTCTATTCAGCTGTCCATTTTATCCACTGAAAAATTGCTTATCTGTCTAAAAATTTGCAGTAATGTAACTAACAAATATGCAATTATAAATTATATGGTTTGCTACTGACCCCCTACGGATCCATAGAGAGATAGTAAAATCCATAGGGGGTGAGGCCGAAGACATAGATTGGTCTTTTTAAAGTTTTTTACTGGTATGCATCCAACTAATTTAAGCAACAATGATTTAGTCTATCAAAATATGCATCAAATATAATCAAATTAAAAAATTAAAACAGTTAAAAAAGTTTTTAGCGATTTATTCGACAGAACCACATAGTTTAAATAAGTACAAGAGTGCGCAGATGTGACATTTAATTATACATCCAAATTCTTCAAAAACGCTAAAAATATCATATATAGTTTATCTTACGTTTATCTCAAGTTTTTGTCGAGCCTGTGACTTGTCGCAAAAGCGAGACATAGCGATCCTACATTCCATCGGCGGCGTCCACAAATATTCACTCTGTGGTTAAAGTTTTTGAAATTTTAATAACTTTCTTAAACTATCCTGCATTTCAACCAAACTTGGACAGAAGCTTGTTTGTGATCATAAGATAGTATTCAAAAGTAAATTTTGTTAAAAAAAAAATCCTGTTTATCCGTATTTTACTTATAAATGGACTTAGTTTTTCTGCCAGTTAACATTACATTCACTCTGTGGTTAAAGCTTTCAAAATTTTAATAACTTTCCTAAACTATCCTGGATTTGTACCACACACAGAAGCTTGTTTATGATCAAAAGCTAGTATCTAGAATGAAATTTTGTAAAAATTTATTTCCTGTTTTTCCGTATATTACTTCTAAATGGACTTAGTTTTATTCCAGTTAACATTACGTAAAGTCTGCAGTTAAAGTTTTTAAAACATTTATTAGATTCATAAACCTTCTTGGATTTTTACCAAACTTGAACAGAACTTCTTACAATCAAAAGATAGTATCTAGAGGAAAATTTTTAATTTTTTCCCAATTTTTGTTGAGCCTGCGACTAACAGCAAAAGTAGGCGAGACACTGGGTTCCGCGGAACCCTTACAAATTTTTTCTTGCAGAAATGAAGTGGTAAGAATAACTTTACATATCACGCTCTGTTCCGAGTTTAACCATTGTCAAGTCAACATCCGGTATTAGGAAAATGTGCTTTTTAATAACGAAAGTAAATTTTCTACCAACATCTTTTTGCATTAATAATAAGTCTAAGGCAATGTCAGTAAGCTAATGATGCACACTTCGAATGATGCACTGGCAATGTAACAGCTAACATCAAAACATGGAATCAAGGATTTAAAACTAACATGCTTCCTTAATGAAATTTATATCAAAAATTTGAAGTTAAATATCATTTTTATGTCAGTCTTTGTTAAGAAGCCCTAATTATTACCTTGATTGCCTTAGTTACTAAGTCGAAAGGGATTAAAAATGGGATTAAAAAGAATGTCCAGCTGGCTCAAATTCTTTTTGGGAGCCCTGATTTTTACAAAAATTGATGAATAGGCACAATACAGGTCATAAATGATTTTTTTCAAAGTGATTGAAGGTGCCAATTTTTTGTCGAGCCTGCGACTTTTGTCACAGAAAGCTCGACATAGGGATAGTGATCCAGCGGCGGCGGCGTTAGCTAACTTCTTAAAAGCTTCATATTTTAGAAGCTAGAAGACCTGGATGCTTCATACTTTGTATATAGATGCCTTATGTTACGAAGTTTCCGTCTGTCATATGTCCATTGTCCTTGACCTCATTTTCATGGTTCAGTCACTACTTGAAAAAAAAAGTCAACATTTTTTGTAATGCTAATTTCTTTCTTATTATTAGTAATAGGATAACTATATGTAGTATGTGCGTACCTTGCAAGGTCCTCATGCCCGTCAGACAATTTTCATTTGACCTCAACCTCATTTCATGGATTAGTGAACAAGGTTAAGTTTTCGTGGTCAAGTCCATATATCAGATACTATAAGCAGTAGGTCTACTATATTTGGTATATGGAATGATTGTAAGGTGTACATGTCCAACTGGTAGGTGTTATCTGACCTTGACCTCATTTTCATGGTTCAGTGGTCAAAGTTAAGTTTTTGAGTTTTGGTCTTTTTTTCTAATACTATATGCAATAGGTCAACTATATTTGGTGTATGGAAATATTTTATGATGTACATGTCAGTCTCACAGGTTTTTTTGACCTTGACCTCATTTTCACGGTTCATTTCTCAGTGTTAAGTTTTTGTCTTGCCTTGACGGAGTCAAAAAGCGAGACATAGGTATGCTGTTTGCGGCGGCGGCGACGGCGTCAACAATGTATTAGTTTGTGATTAGGTCTAGTTCATGGTGAACCACTAGTGGTAGGTCAATGATATTTAGTATGCAGTTGTATTAGCATTGGCACATCTTATTACCTTGGAGATTATTTGGCCCCGCCCCCTCAGTCAAGGTCTATTGACTTTGAAACTTTTCATATTTTACATGTATTAGTTTGTGTATAGGTCAATTTATGGGGAACCGCTAGTGGTAGGTCAATGATATTTGGTATGCAGTTGTATAAGCATTGGCATATCTCATTTCCATGGAGATTATTTGGTTCCACCCCCTTAGTCATGGTCTATAGACTTTGAAAATTTTGCTAAGTTTACATGTATTAGTTTGTGATTAGGTCAGTTCAAGGGGAACCATTAGTGGTAGGCCAATGTTAATTGGTGTTCAGTTGTATAAGCATTAGCACATCTCATTTCCATGGAGAATATTTGGCCCCGCCCCTCAGTCATGGTCTATTTACTTTGAAACTTTTGCTTAGTTTACATGTATTAGTTTAAGATGAACTGCTAATGTTAAGTCAATGATATTTGGTATGCAAATTTATTGGCATTTGCAAGTATCGTTTCCATGGAGATTATATAGCCCCACCCCTGATCATGGTTCATTGACTTTTAAACTTTTACATAGTTTACAAGTTAATGTTTGTGTTGAGGTTTGTTTAAAGGGAACGACTTATAATAAGTCAATGGTAATTGGTATGCAGTTGTATTAGCATTGGCACATCTCATTCCATGGAGATTGTTTAGCCATGTACCTTCAGTCATGGTTCATCGACTTTGAATATTTGCATAACTTACATGTTAAAGTATTGCTATTTTAATTTCAACATTTGCATTATCAAAATTACAAAAAGGCGAGACATATCTCTGTGATAACAGTTTATTGTGTTTTGGTCTGTTTTTCTTCAACTATAAGCAATAGATCAACTATATTTGTTGTATGGAATGATTGTAAAGTGTATATGTCTTTCTGGCAGGTATCATCTGACCTTGACCTCATTTTCATGGTTCATTGGTCAATGTTAAGTTTTCATGGTTAAGTTTGTTTCTTGGATACTATAAGCAATAGGTCAACTATATTTAATGCATAAATTGATTGTAAGGTGTACATGTCTGTCTGGCATGGTTCATCGGACCTTGACCTCATTTTCATGGTTCATTGGTCAATGTTAAGTTTTCTTGGTTAAGACTGTTTCTTAGAAACTATAAGCAATAGGTCAACTACGTTTGGTTTATTGAATGATTGTAAGGTGTACATGTATTACTCGTTTGGTTTATCTGACCTTGACCTTATTTTCTTGGATCATGTTAAGTTTATGTGTTACTTGTAGTAAAGCTTTATATTTAGGACTATCAACATAAAATCAATGGTTATTAAAGAAGGCGAGACATTTCAGTGTGTGCACTCTTGTTAATAAAAGTGGTATAAATTTTGAGAAACATCTTTTAATGGTAAAATTTCAACACAAATTTATATATTGGTATATTTAACACATGCTATTCAAAATTGTTTCTTAATGTCAAATATGGGGTTAAAAATGAGTTTTTTTGAGAGAAAAAATCATAAATTTTCAGAAACATCTCTTTGTGTTTTAAACAAAAAATTATGTATAGGTATGTTTGTATAAGATACATTCCAAATTGTTCCTTAATGTCAAAATTATGGTTAATTGTGGAAAAAAAAATTAAAGTTTGAGGAATATGTGTTTTTACTACAATTTTGATTAAAATGTAGTTATAATTTGCAATTTCAAAATAATTCTCTGTGTCAAAAATTATTGGGTGGTCACCATTTACGAATATGGCCACCAAAGTACATAGTGCTTTAAATTTAACAATATGGTGTCAATATGAATGAAAAATGAAGAACCATGAACATCAATTGCATCGTGTGCATCAGTCTCTGTGCCTCACACCAAAAGGTTCAAGTGGGGCCCTTGCTGACATGTCAGTTTTTTTAGTTTTAGTGAATGGCAATTACACAATATATCATAGCTTTTACAAAGACCAGATAGGAAATAGGTATTTATGTGTGAAAATTTATGTATCAGTGTTCTTTTTAATGACGTCATAATTAGCATAAATCTTAATTTTCGTCCAAATTTAGTAAAGATAGACAATTTTCAACTGGTTTTTGGGACCAGAATTGTAACACATGGGTAGACAAAAAACATTGTCTAACATTATGTTTGTTATAACAAATAAACTATTTAACTTAAATATTAAGTTTGTTTAACGTGCTCTATAACCTATTTGCGCCCTAATTATGATGAAACTGTAAGAAAATCTTGACACACATCTTTCTGTTACACTCTCTCATGTATGTGCATTTTCTTGAAAGACTTTTAATCTTAAAATAAAGGACTTTATATTCGGGGCCAAACAACTTGAAATAAGGCCCTTTGAATACCACACCTACATGTACTTATATCTAGGCTAATCTGTTTTAGGCATGTAGGAGTAGAGCAACCAATACAGAACTGGATAATCAAGACGCTGGATTTACTGTGAAAATTACATCAACAATATACAAGCAAATATCAATACAACAAAGTGAGAGTACTGATGTTGCAGATGCTATAGGTCATATGACATCATCAGAAAAAGATAATGAATTTTCTTCGATAACTATTGTTGAAAATGACGAAGTTCATCATCAGCTTGAGAAACTGTCAATTAACACACAAAGTATTGATGTTGCAGATGCTAAAGGCTATATGCCTCCTCCAGAGGAAGATAATGATGAGACACAACAATCAGAGATGAAGAATGAAGAGAATGAAATGATGAAAAATGACACAATAGAGATTCCACCTACCGAAGGAATTCCTCATTGTGAAGATTGTGTAGTGGTATTTGCTTCTATGGCAGGTAAGTTAAAAAGGATTAGTGAATGGCAATAAATGAAACAAAGGTACCTTCAAAATGAGCATCCCATTGCAATTCAACAGCATCTGAATGGTTTTTGTTATAAATAAAAAGATGGCTATCACATTATGATTAGTAAAACCTATTCATCATATCAGTATTCTATCCATTTATCCTCTGTTATCAGTTATTTCATTAAATATAACAAGGGTAAAATGAAATATCTTGAAAACTATAATAGACAGGTGTAATAATGTTCAGAATTTGTAGATCTTTCTAGCCTTCAATTCTTCAAGAATTACCAGGTGACTACCTGTAGGAATTGTCCTTGAATGAAGATTTTTGACCAATTTTTGTGTTTTGCTAATTATTAATTTGAAAACTATAATAGAAAGATAGAAAAGATATTATCAAAGTGTTATCAGAAATACAAGATCTTAAAAATGCCTGAACACTTCAATTGACTGCTTATACAAATATTATAAGACCTATTGTTCTTTTAAAAATGATATAAAGGAATATGTTCGGTTAGGGCCATATTTTGCCCCAATATGAAGTTCATTGTTTCATGATAAAAATGTTCAAAGTTGTGCACAAAACACACAAGAGAGTGAAACAGAACTTTTTTGTCAAGCTTTTCTTATAAAGCATCCCAAATTAGCTAAAAGTAAATATAATGACCATGACAAATAATAGAGTTATTAGCTTACCCTACCCAAAATGTTACATGCATAACAAACATTATATAAATAGATATTTTTTTGTTGCCACATGCCCTCAATGTTTCCAGTCCCAAAATTAAATGGAAATTGACCAATTTTCTTGGAAAATCAAAATGTGTGTTAATGATGTCATGAAAAGAAAGCTTATTAGTAACTTATTTTCATCTAGTCATTCATTTAGCTATGAATAATAATAATAATAATAATAATAATTCTTTATTTAAAGAGGGTTACACAGTTAGCTATAACACTAATCTTCCCAGGGGTCCTCATGAAATGCAATGAAATATAATAAACAATTACAAAATAAACAAACACACACATAAGAAAAATCAAATAAGAAATTGTTATGAAATAATTTAATTTTGGATGTAATGCGTCTTCTGATTGGCTGACGTTGTTTTGTTTATCAGCTCATAGACATAATTTTGTCATGTGACCTTGACGTCATCAACGTTTTTTCATGATTTACTCCGGTTTAAAATGGAATTAAGAATTAAATTATAAGAAATGACTGTAATATTTTTTGTGTCTATTCGAAATAACATAAAAAATGTGGTGCACACTTTAAAATAACCCGCTATGCGGGTTATTCAGTGTGCACCACATTTTTTATGTTATTTCTTCATAGATAGAAAAAATATTACAGTCATTCCTTAAATATACAATTTTCAAAACAGGTAAAAATTAAAAATTCATATTGTATTGGCATCATCCTGATCATTCAAATTACCACAACAATATTTAAAGTTTGAGTAAGTGTGTGAAAATTATTATGCATATACAATTACACAGCTTCATTGTGATATTGTTAATAAATTCTAATTTGAAATTTTAGCTAGAAATAAGGATCATATTATCAAACCTACTCCTGTTGACCAATAATGAATTTAAGTGTTTTGTCCATACTCTTGGAAATTTTAATAGAAAGACAGATAATGTACACTTCAATAATGATCATCACCAATGCAAGGTATACAAAACAACCACTTACACATGTTACAGTGAGGTATTGGTTAAAGATTGAGGAATTGGGAGATTTGACAAATTGTCTGAGGACGATTTCTAACTTCTTGGAGAACACAATTTTGGTTCTGATGTCTGCAGAATAGATATCTATGATATTTATATTTGGTCAAGAGAATTATTGTATCTTGAACCCCATTTCCTTTTATTTATAATTTAGACAGTAAGACCTTGATTAAAAGACTTTTAAATGTACATGTATCATTAGTCATATTCCATGAAGCAAGGAATACATTGCACCACAGCCTATTCTTGATTCCCAATTTTTCTAATTTGATGATAAACATTGCATTATCATCCTTATCTCGTTAAATATAATTATGATAATTGTAAATAAACAATTTTTTTGCAATTCAAAAATTACTACCACTTACCTTTCAAATGACTTTTTACAAGAACAATATGTATAAAACATTTTTACTACATTTTCCTAAAAGCAATGATGTTGAATTAATATCTTATAAGTATGTTTTCACCTTGTACTTTGATGAATTGACTTTGGTTTTCTACAGAAGTTGGTTTAAATTTCTGACCAAGTGAACAGTTTGGTTTGATAAAGCACATTGCAATTTGGTCAGAATTTTCAATGAGCTGCAATAGGAGGAAAGCAACACTTACAGTCAAGTCATAGTAAAATATATTCCAAATTAATTAGACTATGACCCATATTTTGCTAATCATTGATCATGGAAATGTGATTGTATGTGCTGGGCATGGTGTCTTATAAACACACAGTCTTTTTGGTTTATATTTTTGGATTTTCATAATTGCATCATACACATTTCCCATCTTTCTTTATATTTTTTTTCAGGAAAATATGCCTACAGTAAGTTACATGATCCAATGTCTGGAGGCTGGATGATAAGAGCATTGCATTCAACCTTAGAGAAATACCAGGGAGGAGACACTGTACATATACTAGACATACTTAGAGACATTAATAGGGATATTAGCGAGAAATATAAATTTACCCCTCTTGATAGCAGTGAAAGATGTATGTCCCATTTGCGTATATTAAAAGATGAGCTTGATAGGGAACTTATGACGGAAAATTATTGTGAAAAAACATTAGATGATCTCAACGAACTCAGCAAAAAACTTGACCACCTTCAAGAGAATCTTGAACAAAAGATGGCATCTGATTTGAACGAAATAGTAAAAGAAATTGTTGAAGTCACAGCCAGTGTCGAGAAGATTGTTGGGCTAGTAGTACTTAAAGCACAGTCATGTTTTTTCCACAATTTGGCTTTTCAAGATGAAGATATGACCCTGCATAAGACAAAGATAAAATGAATAAGACAATATTTGAATCTTTACCTGATATAGTTTTCTTCGATTATAGCACCCCCTGCTAATTGTCCCTGATCATGACTTTCCATAATAAATCCCCCCAAAAAAGGAAAAGGTCATCTAAGGGACAATAAAAAATTACAATTCAAAAAGGTCAGTAAACATAGCCAAAGAAAACAGATAAAAAGACAACAGTTCACTAGATATTATAAGGGAAATTGAATTTGAATACCTCTAAAAACGAGGAAACTCTAAATTCTCAAGAAGGGACCAGTTCCTTCTTCTTTTGATATACCCCTTCTTCTTTTGATGAATCCAAAGATAAGATTTTGTTTATTGCTATTGTCACAAATTGCCAAAATAAGTTCTGTCAAAATAGATTCAACAAATAAGGTGTTCAATAAAATTTTGACAGCCAATAGCAGAGATCATGCATAGGATGTGTTACAGTATTACATTTGTCTTGTTTGACCGTCCATCTTTTTTAACACATTACACTATAAGTCTTTCTTTAAAATTCCTTTAGAAGTTTTGGATAATGACAAGATACCTGAACATTTTTAAACATGAGACTTATGCTGATTTTAATGATTTATGGTAATCAATTTAAAAAAATGAATGTTGATTTGAACAATGTAAATATAAAGTGTGATTAAGATTAGTTTGTTATTGATTACTCTTTGCTTGACGCTAAGAGAGTTATGAAGCCTGTTTGTTGTTTTAAAGTTATAATACAAGTTTCTTTGCACCTGGCACAATTTATTGATTCATTGGAGACTGACATATAATGTGCTCATTATGCAACTGTTTTTTTAAATGCCTTTCTAATTTTTTTCATTAGGGTTTAGGACAAGGCATTTTGTTTTTGATTAAAATGTTACTCAATTGATCATAGATAATGTTTTATAATGCACATATTAAGACTTTGTACATAGTTTTTACAATAAGTGTACATAGTTTGCATTATTATTCTCATTGCTTTGTGATATTTTATTTTGTTGGGAAGCGGAAACAGGAGGGACTGTATATAAGTAAAAGAATTAGCAGTAGTAATTAAATGCAAAGAAATGCTAGTTTTAATTGTAGACTATTGTTGATCAATAATCAAGGAGGAAGGCATAATTTGTGTTCTTCTAAATATTCATTTTGTACAAAAGGTTAATGTATTAAGATTTATAATGTTGCCTTGAAATTTGAATAATTTTTGTTTTGTTGTATTATTTTTATGATAACATGGATAACAGGCAAATTATCTATAATTTAAGATCAGAAATCATAAAAGGGTAATTCAGTATTTCCTGATACATGTATCAACAATGGTGTCATTATAATTTGTGATCTTTTTATAAGTAACAATGTACTATTAATTTTTACATTTTTCTGTGATATTTGTATTCAAAAAACATTACTTACACTTAAAATCTCCAGTTATGGTTTATATTTCAATCTTGTTAACCAAATTTTCAAGGAATTATGGTCTTGATTTAGAAGTTCTAAGACAATTTTACTTGTTTTGAATTTTTAGTAATGTCTGCTGACATGGTCAGTTGATGATTTCTGGTATGTTTATTCAGATCGAAATTTCTTCTGGTATGTTTATTCAGATCGAAATTTCTTCTGGTAGATTGATTTCACAGTTAGGGTAAGGTATGGAAATTTACGTATTATTGACACTTTTAGTTTTATTGAGTTTATCAAATAATACCCCCTGGGCAAACCCTTTTTTTTTTGGGGGGGGGGGGGGTGGGGGGGGGGGGACGTCATAGTGTCTGTCAATGTGCCTTGTCGAGGTAACCCCTTACATGGCTGAACAGATATTGAATACATTTTACACAGTTGTAGAATTTCCTGAGGATGTGCATAAAGGAATATGATCACTGTCCTAAAGGTTAAAGGGGAGATAATCAAACTTACTGACTACAATATGCTAAAATATTGTGGGGACAGGATGAGTTCATTCACAGTTCTATTTGTTTTGGTACACATACTCCGGTACAACAATGTATTCACAAAATCTAATGCTTGTTCACTGAAAAATTGATTGCTATCATTCAATGATCTCAGATTAAATATTCATTCCTTTAGACTTTTCTTTGTGTATATAATAATATAAATGTAAATATAAAAGCAGCAATATACTAATAGTATTGTAGGGTAATGTACAATGATTAAACAGGTACGTCTGAATTATATATTTTTTTTTGGGGAAGGGGGGGTTTTGTATTAAGTGAACATATCAAAACAGATTCCCAATCATTACATTTAATCCTGTACATGTGATGGGATTAGATTGCTGGTAGTTCAAACTTCTGTGTAGGTCACTATTTTTTTGTGAATATATTTGAACACTGTGTAGCATCACCACCAGATATAGGTTCCCCTGGAGCAAAGAAACAATGATAGCAAAAAGTACCTATTCTAATCCCCATACAGTAAACAACAATTCACTGCTATTCACCGTACAGTTTATCCACTTTATTTACATGAATTTCTCTATAAAAAATATTTTATTTCGAGATGCAGTGTTTTTCAAGTGTAAATTTGATATACCTTTGTTCTACGAAAACGTCAAATTAATAGTTGAAGGATAAATGTGTTTTTATCAAGTTTGAACTGTCACATGCTTCGCTGAACAGATACCACCCTATTCGATTCTGACGATTTGAAATAAAGGGACAGCCAGTTAAGGATCATAATCGGCCCTAAATAGTAGCTACATTATTAAGAATCACTATCACAAAACTTAAATTGTCATCAAAACGTAGAATATAATGAAAATAAGAAAAATTGACCTTACCGGACTTCACATTTTTTTTTTCCACCACTTCAGAGGTACCTATATCCGGTGGTGATGCTACACTTTGTTGAATAAAAGTAAGGTATCTAAGTGGCAGAACCCTGTTTTAGAAGTCTATTCAAAAATTATTTTGAGAGTTACTTTATATATATATAATAGAAGAAATATAGCCTTATCATTGTCTCAGGTAAGGTGTTGTGTTGCCAAAGACATATTGCTCAAATAAAAAATGTAATCCAGTCTTCCTAAAAACAAATGACTTGTTTACAAACTGGAAATCAGTCTTTCATTTAAGGTGGTACATAACACTACATGGAGATAACTCTGTAAAAATCAGCTGACTGTTTTAATCACGTTCTATTGTTAAGGAAATATTAAGCTTCTCAATGATCAAAATAAGTGTTTGTCGACCTGCTATATATCCAATGAAATTTTTCCGATAAAGTGTGTGGTTCAAGTTTTTTGAAATTTTCATATTTTTGTCAAAGGGTCAAAGTAAATATTTTGTCAAAATTTTATGAAAATTAAACGAGTCAAATTAATTTTAGTCAAGGTGTTTTGTATCACCTTAATTTCTATAAATCTAAATATCTTGTGAGGCATTATTTTTTGAAAATTTTACTGGACAGACAATATTTTACTAGTCAGGAATGTAAGGCTTGTGGTTCATCATGATGATTGTAATAATTAGTCTTGTTAGATTTTTATATACCTTATTAGGAATTAAAAAGTGTGTGACATTGTTTTTTGAAAATGATTATGTTACAAATGATATGAATATATACACATTAAAAATGATTTCAAGTATGTAAACATGCTCTAATCATTGATGTATACAGTATAATTAAATGATAATATGTGATGTGCATTAAAAGTGCTTGAAATGTAGGATTACTAGTAAATGCAATTTTCTGCAATTAATTGAATAAAATGGATACCTGATATTATTCAAAAAAAATTTCCAGGTCAGACTTAAAATTCTCAGGTGTGACATGCAGAAACTATGTCAGAATGGCCAGTCTGTACAGGTATAGTTTTAATTAATAAATATCCTTTGATTTACCATTATATATATTTATATTTTTGTTAGGTCTATTATACTGAATTTTTCTCAGTTCTTTTCTGTGTTAAATGTTTTTATTTATCCTGTGTTAAATGTTTTTATTTATCTGTGTGTGCTCAATATTTAGGAGGTTAATATATATATATATATGTGCATACTAGTTTTCAATTATGGAATGAAAATTTCACTTTTTATTAGTTAATTGGTAATTTTAGCCTATTTTGTCTGACGCCAACGAACATCTGAAAATCAAATATAAAAATATGAGCCATTTGGGTTGAATGTGTCATAAGATTCTTAAATTTTCAGTGAAGTATACATAAATTGTGCTCAGGAAACAACTTTTTGGCCAGAACAACATTTTTTTACACGAAAACAGAATATTGGGGACCCTGTTATTTTCAAATCTTTTTCTTTGTGACTAAATTTTAAATGGCTCCAATGCTTTAGCTTCACCTGTAAAAGTGTAAGGCATAGAATTCAGTATTTATGAACCACTTTTGCAACAGCATTATACTATGACAATATTTATTAGTCAGTTAATGTGTCATTTATATATTGGTAATTAATTTTTATATTCATTATACATTTTTATTCATTAATGTTCTATAAAATAGAAATAATCAAGAATAACTTGTTATATAACTCATTTCATTATTTACAATCAATAAATCATTTTTCATATCTTGAAGGATTCAAGTTTTTTTTATTGACTTGGTTGAATGGCTTTATAATTCCTGTGAGAAGTTGACATTATTATTTAATGTCATGAAAAAAGAAAAGAATACAATTATGACCAACAGTCTTGACAGTTTGATTAATTCGTATTTCACATTTGGTCATATAGCTCCTAAAGTATTCAAGTTTTCGTACATCCTTGGCTTTCAATTAGGTAAAGGATTGACATTTGGTTTAAATAGGCACCAGCATATATTCATGTCATTTTTTGTCTCGCCTTGACAGAGTCAAAAAGCGAGACATAGGTATGCTGTTTCTGACGTCAGCAGCGGCGGCGTCAACAATGTATTAGTTTGTGATTAGGTCTAGTTCATGGTGAACCACTAGTGGTAGGTCAATGATATTTGGTATACAGTTGTATTAACATTGGCACATCTCATTACCATGGAGATTATTTGGCCCCGCCCCCTCAGTTAAGGTCTATTGACTTTGAAACTTTTCATGGTTTACATGTATTAGTTTGTGATTAGGTCAATTTATGGGGAACCACTAGTGGTAGGTCAATGATATTTGGTATGCAGTTGTATAAGCATTGGCATATCTCATTTCCATGGAGATTATTTGGCTCCGCCCCCTTAGTCATGGTCTATAGACTTTGAAAAATTTGCTAAGTTAACATGTATTAGTTTGTAATTAGGTCAGTTCAAGGGGAACCATTAGTGGTAGACCAATGTTAAACAAAAACTCGAATTCGAAAGTTATTTTGATATTTAAGAAACCAACGAAATAGTAGAACTCTGCAGGTTCAGGAAAACAAATCAAAAGCTACCTATTGAACAAGGAAGATGGCAAAATATCCAACGTGAAAAACGAATCTGCACATTATGCGACTCGAATGAAATTGGTGACGAATTTCATTACATTATGTCATGCAGGAAATTTGCTAACATCCGAAATTTATTTATTCAAGAAAAATTTTCAAAACGTCCAAATACACTTAAATTTAGTAATCTTATGACCTGCAAAAGAAAATCGATACTTTCGAAACTCTGCAAATTTATTAAAATTGTTAATAAAGGGTTGTGTGATCCGGGCTGACATCTCTCTCATACATGTTGATTTGTTATTAATATTATGTGTTCTCTGTACCATTCCAATGTAAATGGTTTATTGAGAAATAAAGATATATGTGTTCAGTTGTATAAGCATTTGCACATCTCATTTCCATGGAGAATATTTGGCCCCGTCCCCTCAGTCATGGTCTATTTACTTTGAAACTTTTGCTTAGTTTACATGTATTAGTTTGTGATTAGATCAGTTTAAGATGAACTGCTAATGTTAAGTCAATGATATTTGGTATGCAAATTTATTTGCATTTGCAAGTATCGTTTCCATGGAGATTATATAGCCCCACCCCTGATCATGGTTCATTGACTTTGAAACTTTTACATAGTATACAAGTTAATTTTTGTGTTTAGGTTTGTTTAAAGGGAACGACTTATGATAAGTCAATGGTATTTGGTATGCAGTTGTATTAGCATTGGCACATCTCATTCCATGGAGATTGTTTAGCCATGTACCTTCAGTCATGGTTCATCGACTTTGAATATTTGCATAACTTACATGTTAAAGTATTGCTATTTTAATTTCAACATTTGCATTATCAAAATTACAAAAAGGCAAGACATATCTCTGTGATAACAGTTTATGTGCAGTTAATGACCTCCCATTCAGTGACTTCAAACTTTAATGTTGAGTGTTCTGATAAGATTTGTTTATGCAGAAATATTCATTTGGTAAACAAAGAAAACATTACATTGCCAACTTCAGTTAGATGGGATATATTATAAAAAGATGTGGTATGATTGCCCATGAGACAACTCTCCACAAGAGACCAAATGACATAGAAATTAACATTTACAGGTCACCGTATAGCCTTCAACAATGAGTAAAACCCATACCATAAATAAAAAGGTAAAACAATTCACACAAGAAAACTAAAGGCCTGATTTATGTACAAAATAATGAACGAAAAAACATATATGATATACCGCAACAAATGACAACTACTGATTACAGGCACATACAGAATGTGGCGAGGTTAAACTAGTTTGAAGGAGCCAACCCTCCCCTAACCTGGGACAATAGTGTAACAGTACAACATACAAGGGCGGATCCAGGATTATAGGTTAGAGGGGTGCAAACTTAAATTTTTGCAGATTAGAACGAGGCGAAAAATGTTTTGAGGTAAAATTATCGAAATATTCTTTATTAAGCTGAGGACAACCCACACCCGCCACTGCCTGAATCCGCACCTGACATAAGAACAAACTAAAAATCAGTTGAAAATGACTTAACTCATCAGATCCATACAAAGCAGAAATACATCTAACAAAAAACACAGACAGACCGGATGTGGCAGGGTACTTATACATCCCCACAACAAAAAAGACACAAGTTCAGATCTGAGAGTACTTGCAGTTTCTGACAGCTGGTTCAAAGCCAATAACAACTAATAAAAAAATCATGTATCTAAAACTAAAATATCAATCAGTACACCTCCAACATCCAATGGATTTAGTTAAAGACGTCATTAACAGTCAGATAAAAACATGACCTTGTGAAACGCCAAGATACAGGTATCGACAGATTGTAGAGCCTGAATGTGCATATGTGTATACAAAAATAATATTTAGTTTGATTTTAATTTACTGATAACAAATTCAATTGTAATATCAATAAAAACAATATTCAAAGCTCAAATTACAGTGTTGAATTGGTAACCTTTAAGAATAAATTTATTTAAAATATCGATAAGTTTACACGGATCGTATTTAAATTTCCGGGCTCGGTAAACAACATCTCTGTAAAAATTAGGATGTCCTATCTCGTTCGAAATAAGTTTTCTATAGGTACAACCAAGCTTCCAAACCAAATCTTTGTATCTATTGAAGAATTTAGTAAAGGTTTTAAGTAATTTGTGCATGGTAACAAAATCCCTGACTTATAATTTACCAGTAATACATAGATTACGTTCATTGAAATCCAAAACCACAGTGTCTAAACTACCCCGGCAAAAAATGTTTGGATTCAGTGGTATCTAATATCCTGGACGGTGACAGACCATCAACAGGCAGAGAAAATGTCTGTTTCTGTTTATTTATTTGTTATCTTTATGATATTGAAGAATAGAAATACACATATAACTGTTTTCGATTGTGAGATGTAATATTTTCTACAACCGTTCTATATTAACAGAGAAATAAGTAAAAGGCCGGTCAAAATGACGATTTGAGTGAACCTTGCCTCGAATTTGTTAAATATCTTGATAAATTGTGCACATTGTACGGAAAGAAAGGTACAAAAGAAAGACATTTACATGGAGATTACAAGACTAGTCACTTTGAGCATCTCAATGTTTGTATTAATGTGCATGGAACGAAAAAAATGGGTCATGTCAAAATGGAAGGACCCGGGTTTGTCAATGTTGTGTACTCTACAAGGACTCAGTTTTGTCTTTGTATAGGAGCCGGTTTTGTTTCGTTTGAAAACCACAAATTAAGAAAAGCAACCTTAACACGGATCTGAACATTCTCCGTTAAAAGAATTCAATATATATGCTATTATAAAACACACCTGTCGTGTTAACATTTATTTTACCGTGACGGGAACTTTTCGAAATAGAGAGTACACGTTTTTTTAATGTTATACGTATACCTTACGCACTTATCTTATTTATAGCATGCATTTACATTAAATCTTTTATAGTTTATTATGATGTATGTTTGTTTACTATACCTTAGCACGAAATGATTTAAAAATAAGAAGATGTGGTATGATTGTGTTACCATATCAATCTATCAAAAGAGTAAATCTAGTTTGTTATTCTATACTTTACGCTATGTTTACGATAGTTTACTCATTTAATTGACGAACAGTCAGAAAAGACTTGAGTCTATACTATTTTTCACGAATTAATCGTGCATCCAACACTGCTAAATTTTCTGTTACTACATAAACTTGAGCAGGCACATTTCACATCTCAAATTCCAAGAAAACTGCAAGTTAAAATTTGAAATAAATGTATATTACAATTATGTATTTTCAATGTGAATAAAAGTTGGCTTGCAGCATATTATCGTCACAAGATCTACGCCTTATTTAGAACAACCTAAGTAGCCATTTACCCCGTGAAAATTACCATGAAGCAACTTTCCATCAGAGTCCAAATAACGTTAAAGTTGGCAAATATAGGTTAACGAATGGCCTTCAACAATGAGAATCATCAATACCGCATAGAAAGCTATAAAAGACACAGAAATGACAAATGTACAACAATTCAAACGCGAAAACTAACGGCTTGATCTATGTACAAAACAAATAAACGAAAAGAAAATATGACATGAAGCAACAAAAGACAACCGCTGATTTACAGGCCCCTGGATTCCGCAATGGCACATACAGAATGGCGGGGTCAAACGTGTTAGCGCCAACCCTACCAACCGTAACAGCACAATATAAGATCAAACTGTAAAAAAAAAAATTGGGGGGAGGGTCTAAAACTCAACATGGTTATAATATTACGATTCCTCATAAATGTATAAACTTATCATATTGTAAAAAATTTCCAACACCAAAATAATATTGTTAAACATTTCTAACACCAAAATAAAATTGTTAAACATTTCGAACACCAAAATAATCGTTTTTAATTACTTCAGATGACAGAAAATGTGACTATTGAGGGAGCAGATGAGTAATTTCATGAGCTTATTCATGAAAGCCCATCTGCTGTTACAACTGCTTTAAACAACACCAACGATAAGACTGGGTTCATTTGCTGTTTTAAACAAGTAGTCCAAGCCGCCACGAATTTCCATCCCTTGGTCTCGCATTCCGACGAAATCAAAATACCAATGTGAATTTAGAAAATAAACATGATAATCCAATTCACATTCTTATAAAACTTTAAGATGGTATACGATATAGTTATATTTCATATCATTTATTAGTGGCGGATCCAGGGGGCGTAGAGTGCGTACGTCCCCATTATTGATAAAAAAGATTTTTATATCATGTTTTTTTTACGATTTATAAATATTTTTATGCCCCCGCCGTAGCGGAGGGGGAATTAAGTTTTACCCTTGTCCGTCTGTACGTACGTCCGTCCGTACGTCCCAAAATTGATTTCCGTTCTCAAACTTTAGTTTGCCTCAACCAAATGTTATGAAACTTATACACAATGCTTATTACCACAAAACACAGATCAATTTGAATTTTGGTGGCGTCACTTTTACCGTTCTAGAGTTATGCCCCTTTACAAATGGAAAAAATGCTGAATTTTTCGTTTCCATTCTCTAACTTTTGTTTGCCCCAACCAAATGTTATGAAAC